CCTGTGGTTGAAGTACGTTGTACGTTTTAATGTAGACAGTTACGTTTTTATCAAGACGCCTATTTGGTTAGTTTTTCTTATTTTAGCTCCATGGTTAGTTGAAGTTCTCGCCAATAGTTCGACTTGGTATCCGTTTTTTGAACAAAAACATCATACCTAAATAATTTTTAACATCAAATATATAGTTAATTACTACTTATTAGCTGGCAGTTTTAAGTTTTGGTGATCGTGAGCGCCTATGTAATAAAAATAAAAACAAATTAGGTAAAGATAAAATATAGGAAATTGAAACATACATGCCGTCAACAATTTACACCAGCGTCACGTGATTATAACATGAACACGAAATATTTGTGCCATTGTTTACTGTGAACGAAAAAGCAACATAACTTGGAGGGACTGTGATTTCAGCATAACTCACTTCTTTGTAAATAAAATGGCAATATTTATAGTTCAAATGTAACGGTTTATAATGGGAAAACTCATATCAACATCTCTACTTCATTAGCAAACAGTGAATTATAATGCAACACTGTTGGTTGGATTGCTTTGTGGCACAAATCTTCCGTAACTAGGTATACGCGAGTACATCGAGGGAATTGAATTGAATAATTTGAATGTGATTTTATTTGGCGATATGTGTTTTATTCGATCGAGGTAACAATATAAGCAGCTTTCGAACAATCAAGACACAGTCCTTCGATAGGCTGTTATACAATATACCTTAGATATTACTAGTCTGAGGATATACCATCTATGATTTGCCTGACCTCGATTCGAGGGGGGGGGGACTGTATGTGAACACCATGACACAATACAGACTAGGATCTAAACATGCGTGGCATTGAAAAACAAAGCGCCAATTCCACTGTTTCAGATATTTTTCTAGACATCGGTGAACAAAATAATTAATTCAACAGTCGTATCTAAGGAAATCGAATTGACAGCGATATCCTGGTGGACAACTTATCGAACCAAGGATACCAATGACCCAGACGTGACGTCACTTGATCTTCAAACAAATTCATTGGTATAAAAAACTAGACAGTTCAAGTAAGTAAGTAATTCTTTATTGCAATCGTATCCCATTTGAGATCTTGACATAAAATACAATAAAGTCAAAAACATGTAATAATAATTAAAAAAAATGAAAATAAAAGGAAATACTAAAAGTACTGTAAATGAATGAAATAAATACATATCTCACAATAAGAGATAAATGAATAATTGTAATATAATGTAAATAAATGTGAATCTGTGTTTTGTGGGTTTTTTTTTGAGGCAGCTGGTACTGAAGTTATTGTTTGATTTTTTGCTCCCTAAGCATAAAGCAAGTATAAATGTGTTTTGAAACGTCTTTAATTATGTGATCGTTTTTAATATTTAATATGTTTATTAATGTCTCTCCATACATTTTATGTTTAGTAAAAAGGCTGGTTCTTTCTTCAAGTTAATATGCGGGATGTTTATACACATACACAAATCTCGTTATATGGTCACTTCATGTAAATTCTCTGTGTGCTTGTTCAAAGACATTTTTTTCGCCCATACAAAACTTTTTTTTATTTCATTCAGGTTTCTGTTAAACTTATTCAAGCTTTTTTTATAATTGTGAACAGTTTCTTACTTTATGTAGAAAAATAAAATGTATTGTTTGGCGGCCAGCCAACCCGTGGAGTTAGGTCTTATCACATCACCGTCCGGTCTTATCTTAAAAATGCATGTACAATTAATTCGTTTCATACACTATTTATTATGAGAAAATGCGAAATAAACCAAACAAATAGAAACCTCACAATGTAAAAAAATGTCGAACACAAGGCAAATGGTAAAATCTTACAATTTAAAAATGCCGACAATTGTGGTATTTTCAGTCAGTACCGTGCCCGGAGTGTCTGGTTTCCGGTAGTTGTCTAAATGGGTTCCGCGCTACAAGCAATAACCTAGGGAGTCATGCAGGCCCTCTAGGTGATGAGAACAAAGAAACGCGTGGATTGTTAAGACAAGTGTGCCGGGCAAGACGTACAGTGTACCCGCTCTCTGGGAAAGTTATCGTGAATTCAACTTTTTGAATGATCATTGGCACAATTTAAACGAAGACGAAACAAAAACGAAGATGCGGCATCTCGTTGCATCGGTGTTGCTAATTTCACTGTTTCACTTTGGATTGGTCGTCGGCCAACCCAACGCGAACGAACGCGGTAAGTGAAAAAGTTATAATTTATTGGGGTCAAAAGTTGGGTGGGTCTTTTGTCCAATTTTAATGAAACAACGCAACTTTGAATACTGTCTTTCTTGGACAAAGCAACATACATGTCGCAAAAGGCGTCAGTTATAAGGAAAACAGTTTTACAAGAACCGTAATATGTAACAGCGAGGTTTTCCCCAAGGCTAAGGAAAGTGCAAGTTGTGGTCCCGTCGGCGGCAGCAACTTGTGGCACCGTCGGTGGCAGCATGACGACCACCATGGACGGAGTTCTCGTCACTTGTGTAACATTGATGCCGTTTGTTGACGCAGGAAATTACGTTTGAAAGTGATCTGGCGTTTTTGTTTGTAAAATATTTTGGAATGTCATCTGCAAAACTTTGTCGACAGCTATAATCACGATAAACAATTTAATGCAGGCTGAATAAGCTCAACGTCATCGAAGATCAGAAAATAGAAAGAAAAATGTGTAAAATATTGCAATAAAACTTGTTCCTTGTAGAAACAACAAAATACGGACGTCCTTTCATACTGTCAACATACTTTCACTGCAGTTTGCAGTTTTTCAAACCAATGTGTGAATGGAATTTTTTTTTGGAATATTTTGGTTTTAGTTTGCTGTAAGCCAATACTAGAGTACATATGTGTGGTCGTCAGATGTATAGACTGTATTGTAGTTTACAATTTACCCGTAGCTCAGTAGAGATTGCTTACATATTTGAACACTCTTAAAGTTTAGTGCGAAGTAATATTAATTACCGTGGAATTGAAACGAGTGATGTTGAATGCTTTATTTTTCTCTTCTCTTCAATTTTATTTTATTTTCTGTGACTAGACTAAAATAAAACAAAAAGCAGCAAACTATATTTCTTCGTATGAAAAAAATACCCTAGTATTTAGTAGAGGTTGATCTGGTTGAATAATAATTTTCAGTCAAAATATAGATTGTCTAAATGCATCAAAATTATATAAGTTTATTTCAAAAACCAGTAAATGCATGATAATGTGTTGTATGCAGTTCACCACTAGACAATATTATTTGTCGTTATCAATGTTTAGTGATAGTGCAGGAATCTGTCTAGACAACGCCTTGCACTACTACACTAAAGATTTGAATATTAGTACATGTATTTTACTGCAAAATTCCTGTATTCAATATTACATTACATCCACAAGATAAGCAAATATTTGTTCACACACAAAAAGTACTGATCGAGAACCATTTAATTTTCATTGCTAGAAATGTTTGCAGTTTCAGGAATTTATGACATTTGTGAAAATCAAAATTACGCGAAAGTCACTGCTATAAAATTATTACAATTTTCACTGAAGTTCGAAATAAATTGTTTGTCGCAAAAATAGAAACAGTGTACAGTATTTACTTGCAATTAAAATTATTAATACCGGGTACATGCTAATCTCAATCAAAAATTATCGCTGCTTAATTTATTTTCAAAAATTAAAAATTACCAATTTCTACCTTAAAACAAATTGATATGTTCTTGTTCCCATTCCATAATTTTCTGTTGCTGGAGTAAGTATCGTATGTGCTCAGTGTGCTGTATTGTATATACATGTATATATATATATATATATATATATATATATTAGTTTACACCTGTGACCTTGTTCAAGCTTGTGCAGTGACATGTGTTGTAAATTCTGTCAGATTGAATCAATGAAAAGAGACGCTTGCCAGGCGATTTACTGTAAAATACTTTATTTAAGCTGGAATTAATTTTCGCTGAATTGACTTTTTGGGTGTTTTGTATGGAATTTATTTTCACTGATTTTTGATGTGTTGAATGTAAAATAAAAGAAAAAGTTCTTTTTTGCTGGATTTTATTTTCACTGAATCCTTCCTTCAGCGAAAATAGTAAAAATCAATTGCAAGGGAAAATAAAGCATTCTACAGTAATCATCCTTGTTTTATTAAATTGAATAAGACAAAATAAATTAAATGAGTTAATGTTTTTATATACATGTACATCATTTGCTATATTTTACACTGTGTTGAGGAACGATGATTAGAAGCCCATCTCTAATAGAAGGGCATATAAACCAAAAATAAAATTTGTTGTAAACTGAATCATTAAATTTGCATATACACTAGAATATATGGTATTTATAAAATTAAACGCGCCTTTGCTGAGTATAGTTTGTAGTTAAAATACATGTACTAGTATTGTTGTTCACTTGAATGCCCCACCCCCTGATTCTGCAAAAAAAGCCAACTTAATGAGAAACCACCATGATAACTGATAACAGTTATAATTATAGTTTAATTAAAAACTGTTGAAAGTGTAAAAAGCTAATCTTTGCATCTCAGAGGAAAAATGAAATTATTTTGTTGTGAATTCAGTGATACAAAAAATGTACTCTGTTTTTGTCAGAGTGGGAATTCTTTGTTACATTGAATTGAATAGAACTGAATAGACTGACATCCTACTGAGTTTGTAGCACGTTTGTTTATTTGTTGGCTTGAACTATAAGTTTTCTGGTTGATTTATGTTCCCATTTGTCCCATGCCTCTTGTGTCCAGTATGCATACCTCTCAACTAGGTCATTGCAACAATTTATATGGCCATTTTACTACTAAATAATAGATAAAACAGACACTGGAACTTTAACAAGTTATCTCATGGTATATAAGGCTTGGTATTTGTATTTTTTTGAGTCAATGGAAAATCATGGCATTTTGTAGCAGTGAAACTTTTGCTGATGTATTTGCATAATGTTGTCTTCATGAACCTCATCAAATTATGAAAATTCCTAAAATTCAAAATTAAAGTGTTTGCAGTGTTCTTCCTAGGAAATAGCGTAGCCATAGCTGATTTGCTTAACATTGAAACATGAACCATACCTAATATAATGTTGACTGTTATATTAAAAATTAATTTAGAGCATTCATAGTATTGTCACTTTGGTATTTATTACATATTTGAAGGTGAATTTCTATGAATTATTGGAAATATATAATTTCAATCCTTTTAAAAAGTTTTCAGAGTGTCTGAACACTGGAAATCCATTTGGCATATCATTTGATTGTGTGTTTGAATTTCTTTTGTAGTGTCTTTGTATAGTGTGTGAATTTAAAAATATTCACAGTAATTTCAAAATAGGACAGAATTTTAATAAATCTTTTTTTTCAGCCCATCTGATATATTTTACATAAATAGTTAAAGCGGGAGGGTCGTTACATGCGCACGTGCTGGAATTGAGTCCCAAGCAACGATAACAAACACATGTTAAAAATGCAAAGGCCCATGGGTAGATGCTTGTTTGTAAACAACAACAAGCTATGGCCATCTGACGCATGCGCTGTGGTGATGACTCCCCCGCTTTAAACATTCCTTTAAAGCTTTATAAATGCTCTCTGAATGCAATTTTAATTTTTTTGTTTAAACCTTCTACAAGTAATTTTTTTGTGATACGCTTCTATTGGCGATGCACTTTAAAAGAACAAATATGGTATATGCGTATTGAAATTTAATAAATTATATACTTTGTTAACCATACATCACCTATAAAGTTGTAGTGCAAAGCATAGTTCAGATTCCATTGCAACATGTGGTGTATCTATCTGATGGTCATAAAATAACTGGATCATGGATTGCCCACCAATATTGATCACTTCTATATGGGATAGTTTAAAAGTAAATGTAATTATTCTTTCAAAGTTTTGTTTCATGAAGTGTTTCAGTATGTATTAGTCTACTTAAAGGGAAGTTGGTTGCTTTCCTGGGATGACATGAAGGTCAATTAGATTGTAGTAGGGAAACCCTTGACCTATGACCTTTCTTCATTCTTGATGCTAGGAAGGATATACATCCTTAACCTCCCATGGTTTTCATAATGCTGGTTGTTATGGTGACAATATGAGTGAACATAGATTTGTCACATAGCAAATACTAGTACTACATCAAATCTTTTGATATTGTTAGTTTTGTATCACAGATTTTTTGGTGGCAGATATAAACATTTATTATACAGATCTAAAAATAACTATCGTTTACATGGCTTTGTAAAGAGTGTTCAATACAATTCCAATTGAGTTTTAAAGGGCAGTTGTCGTTGGGCTGCACATGAGCGACATTTGTGTTGATAAACCTAGATTTTCCCACAATCCAATGCGCTCTTCTAATGGACCGGAACAGGAAGTCAGTGGAAAACAAAAGATTTTTGTTGTTTGGTGGAAATTTGGTTAGCGTGGGGGAAAACAGAGGTGTTAATCCGAAAATTCATTGTCTTTTCCTGTTTGTGATTGGTCCTGGCAACGTTTGGGGGATTGTGACGTAGCTCTGACTGTGAGAATATGTACTATGTACAACCATGGAGGTAGAAAAGAGAAGGAGTGAGGACGCTATTTAAGCCCATGTTAATCTTATAAACATCCTTTGTCTTCGCTCTGGTTAAGCCACTTATTGTTTTTGTTTAGAAGTCGTTTTATCTACATGATGATAGCCGCTTATTTACACAAGAAAACGAGAGTAGAACTGAAAAAAATAAATTCCGTTTAAACATCGTCTATAAAATTGAATGCGCAAACCATAAATAAAAGAATTGTGCATGCGCAATGACCTTTATCGGATCACAAAGGTCA